CCCCAAAACCCCAAAACCCCAAAACCCCTCGCAATTGGAATTCTAAGAATAGTTATGAAATTATGATTAAAAAATCATTTACTAATCTTATAATCTAATCATTATAGTTCTCTCTTTTTCTTTAAATGCTATAATACCAAGCTTACATCGTTTCCAAGTATATTACTATCTTTATCTTCTATTAGAAGGGTGCGGTTTCTCTGTCTATCATTGCTAAAGACATTTCTTTATGTAGTCCTTGTAGAAGGTGCAAACTGGAAGCTTGTATCCTAAAACGTAGAGAATTAACTCTGCTTTGAATTTTAAGACTCATCAAATATTGATATCTGTTTTGCTACTCTGAACTTGTTAAAGGGAGTCTTTGACTTCTTTCTCTAGCTAAAGTAATTTTAAATGTCTGCATGATTAATCACCATCTACTGCCTGTATTATTAGTTTTAAGTGCTAGGCATTTCATTTTTGATGCTCTTTAAGTTTTGATATGTATCCTACATCATTGATATATTTCTAGTATTGTTTATAGATTCTGTGTCTGATTGTATTGTAACTGAATTATTCATTTTTTATTTTATCCTCAGAATACCTGGCGTATAGTTGTCACTTCTAATCCTCATCACCTCATCTGGAATGCCTTAAACTTCAATATTTTTTCTCAGTTCATCTTATTCTTTAAGAATAGTAGCGACCTTTGAATTCTCTTTAAGGAAATAATCATTTTGGTTGAAATCTTGAATGTTAGATCTAAAATTTCTAGACACTATTTGACTCAGTCTTGGATCTTAGAGAACTCTTTTACCCATTGTGATTTCATTTTTAAGAACCTTATTATAGTTTTCTAGTCTTTCAATGATAGTATCCTTTATCTTCAATTCGATATCGATCTCACTCTTAAACTTGTCAAATCTGGCTTTTTCCTCATTAATCTTTGAGACAAGATCCTACTCTTTGCCGAAAAACATAAGTTAAATGTCCTCGAACTTGTCCTTATGCCCTTTGGACATTGACTCAATAATCTTTTGCAAATCTTTACATCTATTTTCAGAGACTGAGTATTTCGCTCTTATCCTCTCAAGATCTAAGCTTATCATGTCTGAGTAGTTTTCAAGATTTTTGTATTCAGATTTTACTTAATCTAGTTGCTGTTTATATGAACTAATTTCTTGTAAAAGATAAGAGATCTTTTAGTCTCTAAGACTTATATCGTCTAGCAAATCTTGATCTTCATCATCTTCACTTAAAATTGTTTAAGGTGGTTAAATACTAATATCAAAACTTGCTTTTTTAGATCCAAAACCCTAAAGATTCTAGCGAGAGGAACTTTTTTAATCACCTTTTATGATACTATTGAGGGGGTAGAGTTGATTGGGATTATTATATGCTTATGCTATCTGCTTTATTTAAGGAGTAGACTAATCATCAGAGTAATTATCATTGAATCAATTATTTGCAACTCCCTTAAGTGGTTTCTCGGAGATTTGATTCTCTGCATTAAACTTTAGATTTCTTATATCTTCCTCAAGTTGTTTCCTGCTTTGAGTCTTTCTAGATTTGTTAAATTTGACTCCTAGCAGCTATGCCACACCATTGTAGTCATTTGTTTCAAATTTCAATTTGATCTCATCAAAAAATTGTTCCATGTAAATGATGATGGTTGATAGTTTGAATATGATTTTTTATGTACTGAATGTCTCAAGATTAAACCTCTTTAACTGACCTTTTAGCAAGTCAATTTCTCCTTTAAATTTCTTTTCAGCATTATTCAGATACACTTTATACATTTCGTAGTGATTCTTATCTGAATTGATAATTGTAGCTCTTATATCTTGTCTATGTATTTCAGAGATCGTTTTTAGCTTGCTCATCATCTCTGAGTTATCCTTTTGCAATCAATCCAGTTAAGCTTTCAGTTGCTTGCCCATTCGAGTATTCTTGACTTAGTCCCACTCTAGATCATCATACTTTAGATCCTATCTATCAATAAAGAAGTCATCCCTGAATTAGAATTAATTTATAACTATTAAGGTTACACTTCATCTGACTCAGATTGTTGCCTATTTTAGAACTCAATCAAGTCTGCCATTTATTTTGCTTCTTTTGTGATACTCTATAACATTTAATAAACTTGATAAATCTAGATAATACACTTTTTTATATTTCAATCCCAAATATTTATGCTCTTGCAAATTTGTGTAGAATTACCCTTTATGGGGTTTTGGGGTTTTGGGGTTTTGGGG